CACGGTATTTCGAGGAACGCACGAATCGACCAGACATGATGCTGGTAGTTGAGAGGGTCACAGGGGGAAAGAAATGGCACAAAAACAAATAACAATGAAAGAAATGGAGGCAATTGGGAGAGATAAAAGGGTCTCAATGACCTTGAATTTGGGGGGGACGGGGAAAGCTTGTCGGTCTGAAAGCAGCCGCCGTTACGGAGCCAGTCAGGGAGAGAGAAGTGGAAGTGGGAAGTGGACACACCCGCGTGCGGGCCAGAGATGAACCAGTGTGGCTCAGCAGGAGGAGTGGAAGATAAGGGACACTGGCAAATTATAGAGTGCCGGAAGTGATAATGGAGATGCTGCAAGCGCAATGTCACAATTGAAAAAAACAACTCGGTCTACTCCAACGATATTCTACTCCTAATCTATCAGCGCAAGTTCGTCACAAACCAAGTAAATCAAGAACGGTATTGTTGTATTCATGACCGACATTACCTCTAGCCCGATGGGGCAATGGCGCACCCCGCCGGGCCCGGCTGAGTCAGCCCAGTTTGTTTACCGCCCGCCGTCACTCCAGAAACGCCCACCAAAGCTGCCCGGCAATCGAACCGTCGTGATAAACTAACTCACCTGCGCTGCCTCGACCTGCACCAAACGACCCGCTGACGTCCCGACTTGCGATGCACTCCTGCCCCTAACAGGTAGCAGCCTGATTTGGATTTGATTGTCTTTGCTTTTTTAATTCAATAACACGCGCTTTTCTTTCCATTGTACTTCCCTTGACGTACAATTTCTCGAGTTGTCAGGGGTCGAGTTGGCCCGCCTGTGGAAGCTATGGAGAACGACCATATGGTGAATTCCTTCAATCGCACTTGACGGGTGATGAGTGCTGATACAAATTGGCAGATACAGTCCAGATCGTCCGCCCGTTCACGAATCCCCACTGGTCTAAGAGAGATGAATCCGGCCTCGACAAATGCCCGCTCCGGTCTTTTGCAACCCGGTACCATTGCGGGCGCCGTAACCAGCAAGACTACGAGCCTGTCGCGTATGTGTCAGGAGCTGTGGAAGCGGAGCAGCGAACAGAAGCTGACAGTCACAGAACCATCTCGTCCCAGAAGTACTACGCAAGCACCCGAGGTTGGCAGAGCCGGAGCCGGAGCAGCATCGTCGCGCGTCAACAGCACCACTAGAGTCCACACTCGCGCTAATTCGCACTCATCATCCACCTTGACCAGATCAGCCACCACATCCGCGCGATCAAAAGGAACCATTTCCGGGGTTCCCCCCGCTCGACCACACACCAGCATGTCTCGCTCACACTCCGTTGCCAGCTCCCGAAGACCGAACGGCCACGGCATCCCTCGCCCCGCGACATCGTTGGATACTCATGATGAGGAGGACTCCGCCGCTACTGTACTTGGTAAACGAAAGGGTAGGCCCACCCCGTGCTTTGTTCGTTCTGCTGCATATTTTTGCGCCCCATGCGATACGTCAAGCAATCGTGCTTTGCGGAAGTGGCCCACTACCAGTCCTGACACTTTACTGTGCACTTCCCTGGAAGAGTTGGACCTCAAGCCCTCCCCCACTCACAAATCGAATTTTGCCCCTTTGCCTTCACATGGTGCGCCAGCTGGGTCATTATCTTCGACGAACACGGCCGCGACTACCCCAGTCAAGGCTGCGCCGAATAAGATTTTGTCTCCTAAAAAGCACTCTGCTAGGAAGAAACCACCCCCTTTGCCGCAATTTCTTACCAAAGATTCAACGATTGAGACATTTAACTCTTCTACAGGTGCCGAGTGGGATCAAGAAAGCCGCGAAAAGACAATGGAGGATCTCATGAACACTTTTGTGACCAAGATGAGCCAAGCTGGACAGGAGAGTACCGGCATGAAGGAAGCCCTCGAGCTGTATAAATCTAGAGGTAAGCAACCTGTCGACAAGCACGCCGAACATCATTGAGCTGAGGATTTCACAGTCAGCGAGCTGGAGGCTTCTCGAAAGGAGATCACCGACATGAATCTGACCCTTCGGGTTGAGATGGAATCACTTAAGGTCCGACTAGGAGCATCGGAGGATGCCCTGAAGGATGCGCAGAGAGAGCATGAGATGGAAATCGACGAAATTGGCTCTCGTCAGCGCAGAGAACTGGAGTCCGCGCGGTTCGATGCTAAAAGGGAGTTGGAATCATTGACCTCGCAACATCAAGAGGAGATCCGTGAACTAAAGAGACGATTCGATCATGAAATGGAAGACGAAAGAGCTGCTCGGCTTCGGGAAATCAGTCAGATGACCTCACAGACAGCCATTGACACGCAAAAGACAAATATGGAGCTTGAGAGGAAAGAGCGAGAAATCGCGACGCTTCATAATGACATGCAAGCTCTGCGGGCAGAACTTGAACGTGAGCGCAAGAGCAACCGGGATCTTCGCCAGAACCTGGACACGGCCAGTAGCAATAGCGTGACAATGGAGTCGTCTGTTCGTGCACTCAAGGCAAGAATTGAATTTCTCGAATCTGGACGAGAGGAGCAATCCCAGGCCTTTGAGCGCTTGAATCAGCAGATGATGGATGCGCTGGCCGAGACCAACGCTACGAAAGACAAGCTGCGGAAGGAAGAGACCCTGAGAAGGAAACTTCACAATCAGGTGCAAGAACTCAAAGGCAACATTCGCGTGTTTTGTCGAGTCCGGCCATCACTGCCTTCCGACCCTCCCACTGGCTCGGCTCAGATTCAGTATCCCGACGAGACAGAGGACAGCAAGGAGATTGCCGTACTGGGCCCAGAAGAGAAGAGCAGCCTCGGTACAATCACAAGAAAGAACAGCAACTTTTCGTTCGATCGTGTTTTCGGACCGTCAACGCAGAATGCCGAGGTTTTCGATGAGATCAGCCAACTTGTCCAAAGCGCCCTGGACGGATACAACGTGTGCATTTTCTGTTACGGTCAGACTGGTAGTGGAAAGACTTACACGATGTCTTCGCTCGACGGTATGATTCCTCGTGCAGTGCACCAGATCTATGAAACAGCTACTGGCCTGGAAGAGAAGGGCTGGCGGTACACTATGGAGGGTAACTTCGTTGAGGTGTACAACGAGAATCTGAATGACCTTCTTGGTAACCCTGAAGAACTGGACAAGAAGAAGCTGGATATCCGCCATGACATGCAAAGAGGGAAGACGATCATCACGGATGTCACTACTGTCCGGTTGGAGTCTCCTGAGATGGTCGAGACAATCCTAAAGCGGGCCGCTTCCAACCGCTCTGTTGCAGCTACCAAGGCCAACGAGCGATCCTCCCGGTCTCACTCAGTCTTCATTCTCAAATTGATCGGTGAGAATGACATTACTGGTGAACGCAGCGAAGGAACACTCAACTTGGTTGACTTGGCCGGTAGTGAACGTCTGAGCCACAGTGGTGCGACAGGTGAACGCTTGAAAGAGACGCAAAACATTAACCGCAGCTTGAGCTGTTTGGGAGATGTTATCGCTGCCCTTGGACAGGGCAAAGAGGGCGGACATATTCCCTACAGGAACAGCAAGGTTCGTATTTCTGACTCGATTATTCAGTAGCGAAATAACTGACTTGCATGCAGCTTACGTATCTCCTTCAATTTTCCTTGGGAGGTAACTCCAAGACTCTCATGTTTGTCATGGTCAGCCCGCTGCAGGCACATCTGGCGGAAACGTTGACCAGTCTCAAATTTGCGACCAAGGTACATAACACGCATATTGGGACGGCCAAACGGCAAGCGCGCGTTCGTGATTCCTAATCTATGATACCTTTTGATTTTCTGTTCTGTGTGGCCTTTATGATCCAGGCCTTGGCAGGGGTGTTTGGGAGTTGCTTTTCCTCTCTTGGGAGTGAGACATCAGCCTGTTTTGTTTATACCTGTGGATATTATTGGCTTAATATTATGCCGATTCTTTTGTTGGCAGTTTAGTCCGGTTCAAATAAATATGAATCGAGTGCGTACATACATGCCTTGGTTTATGTCGTCAATCACCCGTCAGCTTAAGCTTGAGTCAGTGTAAATAGAAGTAGACCTCGTCTATTTCTAATCCACCACTCTACAAAGAGAATATAGATGGAAATTTTGCAAAGCATCATGATCTTCCTGCAGCTTCGTACTCACTACTCCTCGCTATCGAAGACCATACGTGACAACGGCAGAGGGTAGACCCTGTACGATGATATGTAGGGTGGGGGCAGAAAATAGAACAAATAACAGCGGGCTATGTGAATTACTTACGAGTCACCAGACACTCTTCTCTCTTTGATCCAGCAAACCCTCATCTCGCGCCTCGCAGCCGCAGGCAGACTACTAGCAAGTCTCTACAACCTTCTCCCTTACGAATATTCCGATTGACTTTGAGACCCGTGCATCGACACTCTCATCCTCAGCGTAGATTTTTTTGAATAAGTCCTTTTGAAAATGTTGTGCTTATCATCGTGCATGATATCGGCAGGTTGTAGGGTTGTTGTGCTGTCGTTGATGCTGGTTGGATGTGGGAGGACATCCCTGTAAAGATATTGGAACGAGGGGACCGATGGCGTTATAACTGAAATTGCAGAAGAGGGGCCCAGGAGTCGAAGCTAGAAAATTATATAAGTTTGTGAGTATCTTGCTAGTGTGTAGGATAAATTGGGAGAGGCTGCGAGAATTGTGCTGGAGATTATGGAGCTGGCTGAGATAAACATCTCCCAATTTCCATGGGTAATGACTACTATTTGATTACAACAAGATGCATGTCCTTCACTATCCCACTCCTGCTTTTGCCTAAGTTTCATAGCCATGGTTCTCCGAACGATAGAGTGCGTGTAACAGAAAGTTCCGCTAAGACTCGCTCCCGAAGCTTATTTCTACGAACTCACTTACAATTTTGTGTTACATAGCCCCCAGCCACGTTAGGCAGAAGCATTAGGATGTGCACTTTGACAATGCTTAGCTCAATGCTTGCACGGTTTAAAACGACAATCATGCCTCTTATGGTCGGGACTAAGCTGTACCACTCGGCTATTTATGGTATCCGCCAGGGCATCCAGACTTTGGATCGTAAAAACGGGTCCAACAATCCCGTGCTAATTTAAGGGACTGACAATGGATAGGCTTCTTTGAGATCTGCGGCGGGGCATGACCTACTGTTATAAGTAGTAAAGGTTCCCACGGCAGACACAGCCGTAATAGAATCACTGGGAATCACTTTCTACGGCATCTCCATACACTTCCAAAGTCACCACCATGGCATCAACACCACAAGCCGATGCAGACTTCGATATGCTGGCCACTCAGCCCAGACGAACTTCAAAGGGTGTGATAGCCTCATACGTGCTGGATTGGGCATTCATCATGTTCGACAACCCTCCTACATTCCCCTCATCTTAAAAATCACAGTCTAAAAATCACAGTACTAAAGCATCTCACAACACCAGTATCCTCGTAATCACAGGTGGAATCCTCTACAAAATCACCGGCTCCGAACATGTCTTCTCCCTCGACGACGCAAACATCTCCTACCCCCTCAAATCCGACACCGTCTCCATCACAACCGTCGGGATCGTTTGCTGCGTCGTCCCCGCCGTCCTCATCGCAGCAATCTGCCTCTTCATCCCCCTCCCCTGGCCCCGTCGTCTCTGGGAATGGCACGCCGGATGGCTAGGCCTAGCCCTGAGTCTCGCGGGTGCATTTTTCCTCACATCCGGTCTGAAAGACGTAGTGGGTAAACCACGACCGGACCTTCTCGCCCGCTGCCAGCCCGATCTAGCCAACCTCACTACCTACGCTGTTGGTGGACTGGGTCTCCAGCGTACAGAGTCACCGGTTATGGTAACATCGGCTATTTGCAAGAACCCCGATGCGACTGTCATCAAAGCCGGGTTTGCTGCTTTTCCATCCGGGCATTCTTCCTTCGCTTGGGCGGGGTTGCTGTATCTGTCTCTGTGGCTGGGCGCTAAGTTCGCGGTGTCTGTTCCTGTTCGCTCTATGTCTTTTAGCGCTGGAGATGGCCATAAGAAGACGGAGTCGTCTTTCAGCAGGGCGTCGGCGGTGGCTGCTCCGCCGTTGTATCTCCTTGTACTCATTGCAGTTCCTGTTGGTGGTGCGCTCTATATCTGTGCGTCGCGGTATATGGACTACATGCACGCTGGGTGGGATATCCTGGGGGGTAGTTTGATTGGGATTGTGTTTGCTATCTTGGGATTTATGTGGTATCATGCTCCTGCGGGACAGGGGTATGGTGGATGGGCTTGGGGGCCTAGACAGAGGGTTGGGGCATTTGGGGCGGGTTTTGGAGATGGAGTATGTACTGGAAGTGGGAGTAGAAATATGGAAGGTAGTAGAGATGGGTATCAGGATCTAGAGCTCGGTGCTATGCGTGCCTCGCGGGGAGTTATGGGAGGTGCTTAGCTAGTAGCTTGAGTAGTAGGTTTGGTTTAGGTACGTATATTGCATCTGGAAGATTATTTATTGTATGTACATTCCCCTTGTCAATACAACGGGTGAACGATAGCGCCGTGCCAGGATAAAAGTGGATTCTGCAGATTGGAGTCAACCACCACCACCAGAAGAACACGGGCATACATCCTATCGCCTGACTCTACCATATCAATCAGGCTAATTCTTCACAGAAAGTCAAAGTACAAGCAAATGCTGACCAACACGGCAACCTGTCTTGAGAGCACCTCAACTCAGGGACGGGCTTAGCTAGACCCACTCGCAGATCTTGCCGAGTAGATTTCTCAATTTGGGCCGTGGGTCCGGACCCAGAGAAATTCTATTCAAACCACGGTTTTCGGTGCAATGGGGGTGCTTGGATGTGGCACGTGGGATAGTTCTGGTTTCATACTGGTATACAAAATACTTTTCTTGAAGGGTGTGATGGGGGATTCCTGAGGTATCTAATTCATTCGGTCAATTTTCAGAGGAAGCCATGCGTAGTGAGGAGAAGAGATAGGTGTATAGGGTATTTTGGGGTGTAATTATTTCGGGCGTCCGAACTTCCGAACCCTTTGGGAAGTTATGGGTCGTGGCTTGCAGGTGGTGGTGGTGATGCTAGGCAGCCGTGCATGGATAAGATAGCAGGAGGGAGGAGGAGGGTAATTGGCGGGATGGATGGATGTACAGAGTAGGGAATACGAGGGTATTAGGCTGATAGAGGGAGGATCACCTATGCTGGTCGCGTGGGGTGTCAGGGTGATTGCCATCGGTGTTTGGGGCCGTGGTTTAGGGCCTGTCTAGTTGTTATATTTTGATTGTCTGCTTGGTGCTTTGCGCCAAGTAAATAGGCCGTGAAGATTGACTATTGTTACTAATGAATACAAGGGCTAATTAAAAGTATAGGAACAGTAAGAGAGCAGTTTAACATATTCACAAGATGCTTGTTACACAAAATGCTTAGCACGTAGTCTATCAACATAGCCCATATACCTGGCAGTAACAGACTTCTTCATCTGGGCAACTAAGCCGAGGTCAGCATCACTCCACTACCAGCAGAAATCCAACTTACTAGACAGATTCTTTGCCAAAGATGATATGCCAAAGATATTCCATAACCCTCCCACTGTGAGCATCATCCAGCGGCGTGTGGATAATCCACTGCCGTATCTTGATATAGTCTTCGCGTGGTCGCTGAAGCACCTGCTCTCGAGATACTGCAAACTGCGCACAACATGCTGCCGCAACCGTGTCAGGGATTTGCATGGCGGGTTTGTCACTTCCAAGCGCAAGATCAGTCCCGTTTAGTGGCGGTGTGCTGGTGCCTTCGAAGATTTCCGTAAAGATATCACGCGTTACATGATGGTATATGGCCTTGCACCCTGGATTCAAGTTACATCGTAGATTGACATAGCCATTCTGCCGGACAAAGTCCAGCTGTAGGGCTCTCATAGACCATACATTATCATGCAAAGGTGCATCAACATGCCAGGCTCGAAGAAAGCCCGAGCGATGCGAATGGATAAAGGCAATGGTGGAAGGGAGTCTATCATAGTGATCAATAAGGTATGTTAGGTAAGCCATGGATTCATGGCCCTTGTTAAGGGGTGTCGTAAGTTGTTGGGCATCAGCTGCAACTTCTTGTAATGGGTTGACGATGTAGATAGCTCGTTGCCAGCTGTGTATGATTAGTGAACAGTTTGTAACTGTTGAGAAATGTTAAACTGCTTACTCGGGTAGTTCTTGTTCAATCCATTCTGTCTGCTCATCCTGTAGCTTCGCAGCCACGATCACCTTGTCGCCAGTCTGACCTGGAGAAGATATTGTCACTTGACTGGTCCGCTCAAGACTGAACCAATCAACTATGTACTCTTTTGCACGATACTGGTCGCAAAGATCTCTAAGGTGGCCTGCCAAGGGTATCGATATAATGAGAAATAATAAACAAATGTACAGTTGAAAGCGCGATGGCCTTCGCATGGTGAGTGGCAGGTAAGAAGCAGAGGCGGGAAAATCGCAGCAAATTCTCACTCTTTCATATGTAACCTTCGAAGCATTCAATCTTATCTGTAATGCATGGCAGGCTTCGGGTTAGGTGTCTTATCCGTGTTGCTGAAACACTTACATACCTACGGATCGCAGCATACCTGCATTGCGATGGGTTTGGAATGCGCGGAAAAGGCATCCCCGATGCCACTGGTTGGACCACACGATTGGATTTTTAATTGGTATGCACCCAAGAACTTTGAGGCTAAAAGAGCTTTTCGGAAAATTCTATTGTGAGTCGTCGAGTTCAGGATTGGCTAGTGGTGCCCAGGAGGCAAGTGGTCGCGTCAGCTGAGGCTTATTGATGCATCCAAGTGTAAGAAGTACTCAGTTTGACCCACGTGTATTGCACTGTCAACACACTAGAGAGACTTGGCTGTAGCCAAGTTTGGATGAATTCAAAGTTTAGAGTTGCGGTATTTCTAGACTCTATCCTGGCTGAAAACATATGAGGCGTAATGGATCAAAGAGATCGATTCATCAAGGTCTAGGAAATGTTTAGCAGATTAGTCCAAGCAGTAACTATAATGAAAACACAGATTCCTTTCCTCGGCCGGCTTTACCAGTAGAAAAACTTATTCCCGATCTGTCTAACTTGTAATTCCTGGGAACTGACACCCGTCAGAAGCTGCAAGATCACATTGTGATATGGGGCCGTTGTCCAGTATCTAGTGGAGTATGCGAACAAATCTAGGTTCTATTCTGAACGTGATGATAATTGCATTTACTGCATAAGATACGAGGTATTTCCCTGTTGGTGAGATACGAAGTGGATGATGGTTCCACGATACGATGCAAGAAGTAACGGAGGGTGCAGGATCTGGTGACCATGGCATGCATCCAAGATATCCCCAACTTTCTCTCCTTGAATACAATGATCATCAGTATTTCCTGGCGACATTCTAAGAATACTCCGTCGGAGGCATGGACTGACTAGTATTTTACATATGCCCGACTCGTGGAGGTAAGTCCAAGGGACTCAGGAGTGATTAGGCTATTGTACAATTATGGTCACACCCCTAGAATATAGCCGTGGGAACAATCTGCCCTCGCCAAGGAATAGTCAGAACAGCTATGAACCTAATCTAGCTGATAAATTATATGAAATTAGTATATTCAATATAGCAGGCGCCGCTTGCTGGAATGTACATGTACACATCAAAACTTCGAAAATCTTAGACAACAATTTTTCTCAGACCAGTATGAAGCCACGGTTCCTGAAGTAACTCCCTTGCCGTGCTTCGTTCTTGTGGATTCCATTTGATCATCGTTCGGATAAATTCTATAAACATTCTCTGTCTTAGCCTCTGATCTTGCTGAGAGAACGTTCAAAGTTAAACCTCGATGAGTCGACAGTTGGACCGGTAAACTCCCCAATGGTCGATTAGTAAAATTGTCAGAGGCATTAACTAGAGTTACATGCCTGATAGTGCGTAGAAACGTGATGTTCGTTTACCAGTGTCCAATAATTTCTTTGGAGGCTGTCCGAGTAGTGCTATTATGTGTGCAAAGTGGTTCTGCTCATTATAGCAACCGACATGAAGTGGATCAATGTCCTAGAAGAGAGCGTTGCCCTCGAGCACATCCCATGACCAAGTGTTGAAGGTTAGGAGAAACTACTAAACGACTCCAGGAGGAAGCATACCATAACGCCAAGGTTCCATATATCAGCACTATATGAATAGCCAGCATCGAGAATGACTTCTGGTGCACGATATATTTCTGCTTGTATGCACCCAAAATTGGGCCTGTCACCCCTAACAGATAGATCAAAACCTGTGATCTGAATCATTCCAGTAGTCTTGCTAGTCAGTCCGTAGTTATTTCGTGATAAGTAGATAGTACGCCCATCGTGGTAGGTCTTTTGTGGGAGTGGGTTTTTGTATTCATCCTCAGCATCCTTCGCCAATATTGATGAGTCTCCAATTTTGACCATTTATTATCCGGCTTCAGATCTGACATCAAATTGTTAATACAATCTCCGTGTTGGGATTCGCTTCATACCTGTGTGTATAACATGGCACTCGGTATGGAGATAATCTAGCCCCTGGAGAATCATTTGAACCATGATTTTCAAGACATCTGAGGGTATAGTATCCCCTATGAACCTGGTTTTATAAAGCCAAAGGGGCTCTCTTAGAGGCTCAAATACCAAAGTCTGACATTTTCTTGACTCATGTTGGAACTGAAATGAATCAAGGAGACGTCGAACAAAGGGATAGCCCGTATGACTGGGGTTCTTGCCGGATATGAGTCTGAGGGTTTTCAGTTCAGACTGAGAAGTATCACCTTTTCCTTGATGCAAGCTAGCATTGAGCTTCAATGACTTGTTCTTTCGTTGAGGTTGCGCTGGTATTGAGCTGGAATATCAGGTCCAGGATACACTGCGGAGGTTTAAGAGAGCACGTCCAATCCTTTGCTCTTGGTACTCTTTTAATATATGCTTGCAAAGCAAGGCTTCGTCTTGACACAACCCCCTTCAGATGCTGGAGCATCTGAATTTTTATGTATCGATGGTTGTAGTATCCCTAATGACCTTTCAGCTGGAATATGCTGCTCCCAAACAGCAGGCGACTGGCGGATTACATGTTCTGGAACATAAGGCTGCCACATTCTTATGACAGACTGAAGTTGAAGAACATACTGTTCCAAATGAGTAACATATCCCGGTTGAGTTCTGGCGTCCATCACGGTAGCAACCCGTCCCCGTAGCTAGCAGTAATACACAAGTCTTGAGATTATCCATGGGTGGTTATCCGACTGTTGTCACCCGGAGCTGCGCGTGGAGAAATGATTGGGCATTGCAGGGGTAGGGGGTAATACCTCCTCTTGCCCCTTACCCCTGCAATGCCCAATAATTTTTTGACCAACAATGCTTCGCTTGGCAAACCATCATGGATGGGCAATTACTTGGCTTATGAAGACACTACAGGTGATGCAATATGTTAACTATAATGAAAGCTGTCAAACGCGCTTCTAAGTGCGGCTAGGGTTTCTCTATCGCTGGCTTCGAAGTCCTACGCAAGCGCAGCATATGGCAGCGTCTGTCTTCCAAAATAAAGCTTCACCTTTGTTGCCAACGTTATTTTTTGCTCGAACGAGAGCAGGAAGTCTGTTCACCGTCGGAATGTCGATTGCCTGATGGCCTACCGTATGGTAATGAAAGGGATCATTGTCTTCCATCTGCTTATAAGTGTAGCTAAAAATGGCGTGGAGCGAAAAACACGGGGAGTTATTGCGCCGCCGATTGCGTGGTTGCATTTCAGTACTGTAAGCTGTTGTTTGAGGCGCGCGCGAGTCATTATGTGGTATAAATGATTGGTTGGTTGGTGGATGGCGCATAGGTTAGATGGTGATCGTCGAGGAGGACATTGATCCTTATTTCACGTCACGGAGTCCACATTAACCTCGTCTTTCATAACCAACGCCAGGACATTTCGTAAGATGACTGTCCCACATATCAACTCTCTAGTTACAACATCGACAATCATCAGAGCTCAGCTCTTCTGTATAATCGTGATGATTGGCAAAAACTCGGGCAGAAAATGTTGGTTTGCCTTTCTCACTACTAGTAGCTCAGCTGAATCCATGGTTGTGAGAGCCACTCCGTGTCTTCCTGAATAACACACATTCTACCTCATTTGCGAGTCATAGGCAAGAATTATCTCCTTGATTGAAGTTGCGGGCTTTTTCCCCAAGACACCTTTCTGTTTCTCTCAGGCCCAATCGACAATAATTGTGTCCCCGAAATGTCACTTCGGAACTTGTTTGGCACGTTGAGGCGTTCCAGAGAGAAAAGGCAGGACAACGATGAGACCTTCAAAGAAGCGCGGAAGGAGATTCTTAATAACCTTCGAGAAGTGCACCGGTCTGTCAAGCTCTTGCCGTTGACCAGCCTCACTAATGAACACGCCGCCCGCTACAACATCAGGTACCATGACCTCACGCTGCGCACCGACGGTGGCTCACCGGCTACTGCACAGACTTATTTCAAGCCTTGGACCTTGGACAAGCTCGAGCAGTTTCCCCTTAACCTTGACGACCCGGATACTAAAGAAAGCGTTCAAGTCAATGAGGCGTGCTTCGCAGACCTCGATAAAGAGAGGTCGCGTGAATCGACCGGCGAGCTTGATCCGGAAAGTGACGACTCTGGGCTTCTCCTGTCCAGCGTGTTCCTCTGGGAATTTACATCACACGCAAGGAGAACCACAGGGGACAGAGCTACGCTCGAAGATCTGTCAGGCTGGTTCGGAAGGTCAGTTAACCACTGCGTATATACGTAAATATTCCATGATAGCTATGCATACTGACAAGCACCCATCCGCCAGGTCCTTCAATAATACCATAATCAAGGAACGTTATATGGATATGGCTATGTTCACAAACCCTGGTAGTGATCCTCTGGCCTCACCACCTCTCAGCTTTGACGATGCTTGGTATCCGAACCTGCCCGAGGGCCAGGAACTTCCTCACATAAACCTGATCGTGACTCATGAGGGAGTGTGCGATAATAACATCCTCCGTTCCGAACTTCTCGTTCTAGTCGGCGTCATGAGGACCCGGCTTGGGAGGGTAGAGCTGCAAGACCACGTTGTGGCTCCGGTGAGTTGATGTCTCCCCAAAATCAGCTTCCTCTTGAATCTTCCCAACTAATAGAGGCATTCTAGGTTCTCTTGACATCATGCACAAACAATCTGAAGGCGAGAATTTTGATCGCTTACTTCGATGGCAAAGAGTTGGTTGTGCTGAAGAGTCCTCTCCACGACTTCTATACTCCGGGCGCGAGAGAGACGAACATCCCGCTTTTCCTGTTATATATGTGCAGTCAGGCTGTGGGAGATACCAAGGCTCCACTAAGACCGATGGTCAAGAAGGAGCACGCTACTGATTACTTAGAGGCTGGTATGCTCGCGCGCGATACTTGCTCGGTGTGCCTCTGTCTTTCAACTTCTCATAATAGTCTGGCGCAAATGTGGAACTGTCTTCGAATTCATGAGACATTTTGTTCGTGAAGGCACTCAGAATTTCGATAGCTCTATTGTGTTGTTCAACCGCATAAACAGTCTATGTTCGCAACGGAGGATAAATCTGGCGGTCCAAGGTTTCTGTCTCAGTCAAAGAGAATACTAGTAGCTGGGAGGAAGGACTTCCCCGCTTTCTGTCTGAACAATATGACTCTTTCCATGAAATATGGTTGACCTATACCCCCCTACTCTTGCAAGTTACATCCTCGGAAAGCTAGTTACAACTAGATAAAGCTCGCCAGCTCATCGGTAGTATGTCACGCAAACAACTCTGTAAATTCCATGCTTGCGCTCTCAGATTGTACAGAGTAGCCAGCAACCCGTGCAATCGAATTTCGTATTCCCATATTCTTGTTGTACTTTATTTAGGCATATTTACCCATTTGGCAGTAATTAAATAGTACGGAGTACTATTCCGACAGATATAAGATCTCCACCACTCGTCTGACCTGTCAGAGTTTAGGTAGAATCCAGGGACGAGATTGGAGATTACTCAGCCATCTCAAAAGTAAATCAGCGATTTCACCATTAGGCTTTTTCAGAAACATGCTCTTGTCGGAGTATCCGCGCATAGCGCGCTTATCGAGATGCAGAGGGCGTACATCCGACCTAACCCGCCAACCCCGCACGCGAGGCTATCCATTTGCCCGTCCTTGAAATAGCAGCCGGTCTTGTCTTCGTCGAAGGATCGACAGAATAATCTTCTACAGAAACCTTGGCAGAAACTCTAATAGCAGGTAACGTAGCTGAAAGCTATTATCATGGCGGGAGATAAAGTAAAAGACATGCACGTTGCTATTGTCGGTACGTCTCAGTCACTCTCATACTCATGGCACCGGATTCACCAATGAGTAATTCTAGGCGCCGGCATTGGAGGCCTTGCTCTGGCGATGGGACTACACAAGCAGGGCGTACCATTTACTGTCTATGAAGAAGAACCCCAATATTCCACTGTCGGGTAAGTTTCGTTGCTTTGCCGTCCATCTGATAGGTTCACGACTCGTTCTCCTTTTTGACTGGTTATAGTGCCGGCATAGGGTTCGGTTCCAATGGTGACTTGGCTTTGGATATGATTGAAGAGGGCTTCATTTCGAAATTCGAGCGCTTCTGTATAGGCAATAAGCCTAAAGATGCTCAGAATATCTTCTTTGAAGGGATGCTTCTGGAGGATGGTCTTGGTATGCATAATTCCTACTACGGAACCAATCAGTGACCGGTTTCTTAATCGACCAACACTGCAGGCCTTAAAGAGCCTTGGTACGGCAAATCATCCTGGGGTCACCCAGATTACATTCGCAGAGCTGTATGCCACCCGTTGACACCCGCACTTGAGTCCAGCCACGCTAATAATGATTCAGGCACACCGCAACGATGTCCTCCAAACAATGACCAGCTTCATACCTATCGAGAAAGTCCGTTTCAGCAAGCTCCTAACAAACATCCAACAGCATCCAAACAAAGTCACCCTAACCTTCGCAGACGGCGACAACGCCGAGGCCAGTATCCTAGTCGGCGCAGACGGCATCAAGAGCATTGTGAGAGAGCACGTGCTATTACCAATGTACCCCAGCCAAGTCAACCCAGTTTACGCCGGCTCGTACTGCTACCGCGGCGTGATACCCATTGCCGAAGGCAAGGAGATCTTCGGCGACCTGACGGACGTGGCGAAGATGTACCTGGGTGAGAAGCGCTGTTGTGTTCATTACCTGATATCGGGCGGAGAGGTATGTTCGACCTTTTTGGTAAATTAGTCACATACCACAGTTCACGTACTTACTCCCATTCTGGGAGAACAGGAACTCAACTTCCTCCTCTGCGTAGCAGACGACAAACCGTGGGATCTTCCCAACGCCGTGACCCAAAAAGTGACCTACGAAACAATGATGTCCGACTTCAACGACCCAAACATCGACGACCGCTTCCGCCGACTCCTCCGCAAAGCGAAACCAATCCGATGGGGTCTGTTTCACCACCGCTACACATCAACGTATTACCGTGATCGCGTCGTTCTTCTAGGGGATAGTGCTCACGCTTCGCTGCCTTTCCAGGCTGCCGGTGCCGGTCAGGGACTTGAGGATGCATTGGTACTTTCTAATGTGCTCGCTAAGATATATCTGAATGCTCCAGGTGGTGAGTCTTTGCATCCGTACATCCGTGCCGGGTTTGCAGGGTATGATCAGGTCAGGCGACCTAGGGCTCAGAAGCAGCTGGAACGGGCGCATGAAATGGCGACGATGCTTTATTATGAGCATCCCGAGACGGGGAAGGATATGTATAAAGTGTTGGGGAAGTTGCAGGCTGGGTGGTTTGAGTGGTTGTGGTTTCGTGATTTGGGGAGGGATGTAGAGGAGGCGGGGAGGGGGGTGGATGAGATCTTGGGGAGGGGTGGAGGTCGGTGTAAGATTTAGTGGGTTGGATAGGTTGATTGGAGGGGTGTTGAGAATGGATATAGCTTTTGCTTGTGGGAGTTACCTGCTTGATTAGTTATGTTATATGCTTGGGTCATAAATCATACAGTTATCAGAGCCAGTTCCTCCGCCAGTTAGCTACAGGTTTTGGTAGAACAGCCGGTATACAAGCTCAAGGATATAGATTGTGAGTATTCATCGCCTTGTTGAGATCATCACTCTACTAGAGGAATATAGATGGTATGTATTCATCACCTCGTCGAGAGCGTCAATCTAATAGAGGAACGAAATTTTGGGTATATATATTTCTGCCTCTCAGGATGGCACAGGTCCGCTATTCGAGCGTCATATATTAGTAGTGAAGGTGGATTATTTCGTATTTACTAGAAAGACTTTGCACTTAAGATAAAATGTGTACTTCTTCAGTTCATCTAACAATCATCACAATCACAACCAGATTTGAAATATCTCATCCGAGCATGCCAAGTTGGCCACCCGCTCCAGCTTCCCATTTCATTTCCGTGAAGCCTCCTGTTCTAGGAGGCCTGATTGGCACTTGTAAGACTTCATCCGCCCTTAAATTTGTGACATACGATGCTTGAAGCTGCCGCGGCGCAGTAAGAATTAACTTGAACGTACATATTTCCAAGTGTTTCCTGGCCTTTTGTTGATGGCGTGTCAATTTGATGAGCCACCGAAGCAACTCGTTTGCCTGCTCAGATGTCTTCTCATCGGCGAGGTAAAATGACAAGCCGTCGATTATGCAAAAGACAACCGCCGTCGCTGGTAGAAGATCTAGGAAGCATTCAATCCGTTGACAGACCGCTTCCATGTCGTCCCCATCGAATTGGCCCATCTTCAGAAGGGGAACAAGGTCGATATGCTTGAAGGAAGACAAAAGCTGTGACAGAATCTCGCTCGGGATGGTCGTTGGAGAATTTAGCTCATTGCTGGTATCAACATGCTCGCCGCAGAAGAAATGGACCGCAGCTATCTGGTCCTTGTTATCGGAGTTATTGGCCCGCATCATGTCGAGCGTGTATACCAGTCTGGCAGCAGTGAAACTCCATGGCGTTTGGAATTGGTTTCTAGGTGCGTTGCCGTTCACTACCAAGATACTGGAGGTTGGCGTACGGATCCAGGCTGCCAGCTCGGGTGAACGAATCACGTATACGCAACGATCTTGGTCTTCAAGTGATAGCCTTCCTGCTAGTTGGTAATTAGCAACAACATCAGCCTGGGCTTGATGTTCCTCATATATGAGTCTTGATCGGACAATGGCACGAAGGTCGCGCGGGGAATATACTGAAGCTGGACGTGTCAATTATTCTGGTCTATTCTCTGTATAATCTCAAGCTGTTGAACCGACCTTCTTGGGCCATGCGGTGACTTGTGTGGCCAGATACAAAGGATGTCATCGCGTATGGAGAAGGCGCATAAAACCCCTGAGCTTTCCGCAGACTGATCTTAGCATACAAAGGGAGAGTATGGTGAAGCCGGACTCACAATTGACATATGCTTCATCCGCTAATTGTGGGTTACACTCAAATAAGACCAGGAGTGCGTTCAACTTGAAATTAATCTTTTCATTGAGTTGATTACTCCTGTCAAGCTTCTCCTCAATCGTTTTGTTATATTGGGCTTGGAGCGCTTGCGTCCTTCTAACCTCGCTACAGACCAGCTCCATAGAGTCCTCCAACATTTCACGAAACCCTGTAGTCGTTTTGTCAATGCCCTGCGATAACTGTTCAATCTGACTAGCCATCTGCATGCTACATATGTTAGCCTCCTCATTGAAATTATCCTTGCATTTTCGCACATCCTCAATACTTTGGGTCAAGGCCACCTGAAAGCTTGAATTTCGCATGATTGCCCCCAATGCCTTTTCACGAGTGTGCTTCTGTGTATAGGCGAGCATTTGCCCCAGAGCTGTCAGAACTGCAAGGTATAGAGCATCGCTGCAAGCCCGAAGAGGTTCAGACGTCTTAAAAATTGCCAAAACCCTCTGAGCACCACCCAGTAATAGGGGAATATCACGCAGGCCACCGACGATGGCGTTACGCACTTCCTTGGCGCGTGCCACTGCCTGTTATTATCAGTGAGTGATAGACACCGTATGCACAGAGTTGAGACCATACATGCAGGATAAACTTGAGTCCTCCACACACAACACTTAAATAGCTCGATTCGGAGGGCAGAAGCCCCAGCCATCCATTGATAGCGTTCTCATGGTCCCCCAATGTCCGGAATGCGTTTCGAATCTGATTCCACACACCCTTTTCCGCTTCGCTGTTCTTGTATTTCGCTGCGACCTGATCCACACTATCCCAAAGCTCCTCTATGGTGTGTACTTGGTCCACTTTGATGCCCGTCTTGTATTTATTCTTAGATTTATCTTCGTAGTCTCGCATCGCTTGTAGGAATCTTTGTTCTTCTTCATGAACCGAAGGCGGTGGAAGATTCACCTTTGGCCTGTCATAGTACTCCTCGTCAGACACTACTCTTCATGGATAAACAAATACATCGAGCATTATTCATACGCTATGTGAGTATCCCCTGCAGGGTTGGCTGGAATAAAACTATGAGTTTCTGAGTCGAACCGAACTGCATGGTCTAGCATAGAGCCATGTTCTTCATGCTGGGCATATTTATCGACGATGTGTATCTTGGACTGATGCGTCTGTTCGGAAGTCCCAAGCAGCTGCCTGATTGACTTGAACGAGGTTGGAGGCATTGCTACAAGCTAGGCTTTGAGTGAATCAAGGTCGATATCTGGAAGATAAAGCAAGACTGCCTCGGAAGCAAATAGGATCGTCTCAATGGTGAAGCAATAACCCTCGAGACCTTGGAGGAAATCAAGAGGTGGCATGCAGTGTCCAGCTACACAAACGAAGGACAGAGTGATTGGGGAGGGAAGGAAGCGGAGGGAGGAGGGGGTGGGGCATTCATGGGACAGTAAGTCAGCCTCTCACTAACAACTTGAATCTCACAATATATTTGCTTTTTCTGCCATCGACCGAATCCATGCTCATGGTGAGTACCTCCCACACGCCAGACTAGCAGTCCCAGCAATCTCTCACCCAGACTGCCTACAAATTGCTTTTTTCACCAAGCCCCTCCTCCTTCCCTCTACATGAGACATTTATCGCAGTTTCTACAGAGTGTCGACGTTTACTGCGTAAGTACTGCAGTTTGCGCCCGAGTGCCCCCACATGATACGCGTTCTAGCAGGGATTCACAGGGATAGTGTCGCGGTTTTTCGAATATGATTGGACCGTCATTATCAGCATCGAGCCTTCTCCTCAGCTCGTTGCTTCGGGAACCATCTGTTGCCCGATAAAGCCCGACGCGAGGTCTCAATAATGGCACTTGCTTGACCGACCAATCCCAAAGATTACGCCACCATCCTCACCAGATGGAGGAAAAAGAAGAAATAAGGCGCTACAATACAGAAGCGCTCAGAGATAAGTGGAGATTTATCGTCTTCAAACGGGGTGCGCTCAGAAATATTTTTTGCCGACATCTCTTCATAGCGTTTTCAGTATATTACAAGTATAAGGCGTATTTCAGTCTCCGGTTCCATCACCATTCTACCACAATCACACACTTCATATACCCCGTTCCAAAAGGCCACTTTGGCTATGAGTGGCCCCCCAACCGATGACACTGTGCCCAAATCGCCCATAAGTCTCTCCAAATTCGGAATGGACTGCACAGTCGTTGAGGCCGATACCCCGGCGCCTATACCACCTACGCATACAACCATTACGCTACAGGCGGCCCCAGACAGGGACACATTACTCGTCAATGGAGAAGGGAACCCCGTGTCCGCAGAATTTGGAGGAGGCGATACACATGGCGTTGATGGTGACATGAACGCCGATTCCGATTCCGACGATGATGAGGACTCCTTGGAAAATGTTCTCAAGAAATACAAGGAAGCAAAAAAGTACTTCGTTGAAAGCGATGGGATAACCTACGTGCCAAACGCCCAGTGGTATATATACCGGCAGTATTGTTTTGGGTGTCACCTTTATGTTGCATCAGACGTGCCCCATGTTGGTGGAGAGACACGTAAATCAACCTGCAAAACAATTCCGGAACGGCTGCCACATCAACAGTCGATACATAATGAACACAGTGAGGAACGGGCAGAGAGACCTCTTCTCCCATTCCGAGTCAGGATTATGAACACGTTACTCAAAAGGGTCATGGATGAGCTTGTGGGTATTTACCCTTTCAATTGTGACCATGTGGCTCCGTATCGCGCTATCGTTCCATACCATGAAAAGCTCCGCAAATTACTACAACAGAAAGAAGAAGAATTTTCGAGACTCGCTAAGATATACCCCGACGATCCAGCCGTAAAACGCACGCACTCCTGGCTCCCGGGACGCTTCTCGCTCTCTAAATCCCATTTATCTTCAATACACCCTCCCGATGATCCCGTAACAGATGGCACCTACCCAGGAGGAAGGGACGAAGTTCTGCATGCCAGAACCCAGCTAGATGGTCTAAGAGTCCTTATCCATTTTCTAGATTGTGACCTAGGGGACTTAGTGAGAGTACGCCAGCAGATCGTCAAGGGAACGCTGGAGCGCATCCCCTTTCCATACCTCTGGCATCTGTTTCATCCAGGGGGAATTCTAAGGCAGCATCTTCTAGGAAACCTTCAAATCTGGTCATCGACTGCTTTTGTCTTGACTTTGACGGTAAAAAGATCAGGGCGCTCCCAAGAACTATATCCATCAGACCATATGATGGCCAGCTATCTATCACAGCATTGGAGGCCTATCAACTAGAACTTGAGCCGAGAGTTCGGGAAATCCTTGTACAACGAGGTAGAAAATTCGTCGACCTAGCGAAAGTATCTCACAGAAGGTATAGGGGGTTGAATCTGCGCGAAAGCGATTTCAACAAGTACGAAGAGGTTTGTATCACATATCTGTCTCTCAAGGACTGTCCTGGCTAATTCTTGGTAAGATTGACAGTGATGTGATTATCGACTTCGAGCTCGCTTTGCGAAGTAAGGAGGTGGCAACGGATCTCCCAGAGTACGGTGGCGGTGTGATTCTCGAGCCAACAGAAGAAGATCCCGACGAAACGCATGACGACTATTGCTTCTACGATAACAAGATATTGGAAAAAAGGTTGCGGTCCGATTTCATGCAGCATACCTCACTCCTTGAGGAACAAGATCTTGAAGCTTTATCAGACGATAGTCTAATGCTTCTCCCGCCCAGGGTCTATGGATATGTCCTCCTCAGTCGAGCCTGGCGTACGTGACTCTGCAATATATTTCCGAGCAACTCAGGACTCTTCTGACTATGTCACAGATCCTTTGGACATTGACCCGATTACGGAGATCAATGTGATCGGCGGAGACCAACCCGATCCGTTTGATGACGCTGTTCTGCCTGAGAAGCATCGCGATATCGTGCGAGCATTGGTTAAGACCCACGCTCGCGCACGAGGCACTTTAGGGAGCACTGGAACAGCTAATTTGGTTGTAAAGCGTGAATTTGACATTGTGAAAGGAAAAGGAAGGGGACTAATCATTCTCCTTCACGGGGCGCCGGGGGTTGGCAAAACGTCCACCGCGGAATGCGTCGCTGCCCACACTGGTCGCCCCTTATTTCCAATCACTTGCGGTGATCTTGGTGGGGACAGTGCTCAAGAGGTTGAAGCCAACCTGGAACGGTTCTTCGACATGGCCAGAAGATGGGGGTGTGTTTTGCTGCTTGACGAGGCAGACGTCTTCCTCAGTGAACGTATCAAAGGAGATATCAGGCAAAACAGCTTGGTGTCGGGTAAGTTATTCAAGAAATTTCTCACCATTGCATAGAAACCATGGCCTCTGATAATTTTCGGCATTGCAGTGTTTTTGCGAGTGCTGGAATATTACTCGGGAATCCTGATCCTGACAACTAATCGGGTAGGCGACTTCGACGAAGCCGCCATATCACGCATCCATTGTGCCTTGTATTACCCGCCTTTGGACCGCCAGCGAACTCTCGAAGTATGGCGAAAAGGGATCGGCCGCCTGAAGCTTCAAAATGGCAGTTGCACGATACCAGTCAAGTTTGATAGGAAAGAAATTCTGGATTTTGCCCGACGCCTCTGGAAAGACGGCTACCGTTGGAACGGCCGACAGATCAAAAACGCCTTACAAACGGCAGTCGCACTGGCCGAATGGGACAAGATCAAAGATAACCCCGATAGCGAGGCATGTCCGGAGCTGAAATTCGAGCATCTCGACACTGTGGCCAAAGCCAATGCCCATTTCGAGTCATATCTGACCCAGGTTCGGACCTCCGACGATACACGGGCAAAGTATAATGCCCTTCGCCGGGACGACCTCACCGAGAAAATCCCTGATACCCCCTCCCGTCGGAAACAAACCACGCCCAAATCGTCTAAGAAGAAAATGCGATGGCCAATCTTGAGTAACGATGAAGATGAGTTTGAAGAGGAGATAGAAACCAGTGACAGTGAGAGATCTAGTCAAGAGAACAGTGAAAGTGATTCCGAGCCTATGGTGATCCAGCCGTCTAAGAAATCAAGATCGCACCAGAAGAAGAAGGGTAAAGATGGCGAGAAGAATCAATCAAAAGGAAGGGAGAGCTCCAAGAAAGCAGGTAAATCGAGAGCCATGTCTTCATCGAAGAAGTCCAAGAAAGAGCCGCCGCCAGAGTCTTCCTCATCTTCTGAACCGGAGAGTGGCAGTGATGAGCAGTGATCGCATGTCTTGTACTGCTCTATTTGCTTCATGAGTAACCTTCAGCTATCACAGACTCCTTCCGGGCAGTGTATACCGGCTATCATGGCCTTACCAAGTACTCACAAGAAAGCTGAGAAATCGGCATGTATTGGACATGACTCGTCTGACCTGGGACTAGTAAGTAGGATACAATGAAAAAAGCAGTACTTTACAACACGTCTCATACTATGAAGCAGTAAGAAGACCCCAATGTACTACATTTCACCTCCCGAAGTAGTTGACATATAGAAATACATAGCAACCTGAAATATATAAGTTTGACTTCCTCGGCAGAGTATATCCTCTCTAGTATGTGTCCATTCTGATACCTTATCTTCATATATCTTTCAACACATGACATACCCAATACACTCATAGCCCGTATACCTATAAATGTACATTTAGCGTTTCCTCAGAAACTCCGGAACATCCCGCTCACCGGGAGGATTTTCAACAAACGCACTGACTTCATCATGAAAAGTAGTTTCCCGCTCATCACCATGCGAAGGCATCCAACCCACCTTACGGCCCAACACAGCCTTCGTCCGAGCACTGTAAGAGAAAAACTCAGGTCAGTATCTCATCAAATCCCCTACCCACATATCATCCTCATAAGCGAAAGAAACAGCTAAGACTCACTTCGCAGCAAACGACAACTCCGCCCTCGAAACACTTCCCATCGCCAACTTCTCCCCCGCCTCCTGCAGACCAAAACCTCCCTCACATCCGACGAGGACAACACCCCCAACTCGCAAGCAGCGATAGCCAACCTCTCCGAGAACTCGCGATGCGAATACTCGCCCGTTTCACAAAAGTAAATCCCCTTCTCTCCAGACGGAATCTCCACCCCGGTGCAGATCTTCTGAAGCATCACGACACACAAACCAGCCAGGTCCTGAATATGCACATGGCTCCAGACGGTATTTCCTGTGCCGACGACGCTGACGGCATCGGAATTCAACGCGTCTGCGATCATAGCTGACAGCTGGATCGAGTAGCGGTTGAATGGCCCCGTGCCTTGGCCGAAGATAGTCGGTGCCATAAGACGATGTATGTGGTTACGCCGAGGGCCTTGCCGGTCTCGCACACGGTGAGGTCTGTCGTGCGTTGGTGGTATGTTTCGCGCGATTCGCGGTACTTTACGTAGGAGTAGATATCTTCAACGTCGGTGAAGAGGTGTGTGTCTGTGTAGTTGTCGGTGTGAGGTCGGTCGCTTGGGTTCGATGTACCTGAGATTTGGATGTAATGGGGTGCTGCTGCTGCGCGGTTGGGGTTTTGGGCTTTTTTTCGGGTGCCTTGCCCCGTGATTAGGGCTTTCGCGGAGGGAGTGTGCCAGCCGGCGCCGACGTGGATTATGACTGTGATCGGTGGGGTGAGGATGATGGTGATGTGTGGAGGTGGAAAGGGGAGGTGTGTTACCATCGAAGTCTTCGGCGATCTTCTCTAGACGATCTGTGTGTCGTTGAAGCTGGAGAAAAGTCACGGGCTTGACGCCGAGTTTCTGCACTGTGCTGGCTTGTGCTTCGCTTCGCACGAGGGCGTGGATGTCCAGCTGCTCGGTCCATGGCTTTTGTCTTCGAGGTTGGAGGATAGGTTGGTTCCTTTCCGCTCTGAGGTGTATTAGGGTAGGTCCTGTGTTCTTGGAGATGGGACTTTCGTACATAATTCCAGAAACTCCGGTGATGAGCAGTGGATGGGATGTCACGATGTACGAGGGTGTGAGATTGAAGAGAGTTTGGTTACGAGGAACTACATTTCTTGGAGGAAAATATGTATTCAATATCTGGATGGACTTGTAAGAGTATGCGATGCTTATTGTATGGTAGCAGGATGGTTCGTCGATCTGGGCTTGCGACGTCGGAAAAAGCGACTCGAAAGTGGATTGGTGGACTCTCCGCAGATCGACTGTGTAGGGTACTCGGAACGGAAGTTGGAACAAGAATTGAACGACTGCCACAAATTGTGGAGTAGATGGCTTCCGAATGGTCCTTTTTGGTCTGTGACCGGTACTGCAATGCCAGAAGTACTGACTCGCACAGTTTGTTTTTCGTGGAAGTGCGGACTGGGAATTGGCCACTTCCGCGCACTCAGAGTCAGTGACAAAAAGTTAGATCACCCCTATCCGCCTCCCAACGATGTAACTCAACATGCATGTCAATGGCTAAAGACAAAATGCTTGGTATTGGACAACTATAGCAAGGCCTTAATGTTTCTTTTTATGATAGTAGCGATTATGATTCTTACCGGCGTGAAAATCACATGAGAGCTGAAGTTCTCCTTGGCTATTTGGCGAATAGTCTGTAGTTATTAAACATCCTGGGCAATATTCTCACAAAGTGTTGAAATATCGTCCAATGTAGTCGTCGAATGTCGGGAAGCGTGTCATACTGAGGCAGAAGCGGCATAGGCGCAGTGGGACAGTCGTCTATGTAGAGTTCCGCGGTGGGATGACAGGCAGCAAAATCCAGCTACTATCCCTACCCACCTCTACGTGATTCAGGCCTGCAAGCTTGCTTGGGACGCGGTCCTCTGGATGTTGATGCGAAAACAAGCCCACACCCTGCGTGTCGTTACCCGCAATCTCAAGCACGAGCGATTCCCCGGCCTCAAGCACGGTGTTCGTCGGCCACATTTCCACGTCAACTGGATACTTATCATCCTCTACCACCGGCAGCACATCAGCACGGGAGTAGCTGCGATATGGCAGGTAAGGGCGGTGCAAAGGATGTGTCTCGTCCACCTTGCGGTGCGAAACACGCAGCCACCCCTTGACAACGGGAACTGGATCGCCGACGGTCCCTGTATAGAACACTTCGTTTCCGTCCTTGTCCAGCTTGCGCAGGGTGACGAAAATATCTATTTCAGAAGGGGGTGCATTGTCAGGGTTGAGTCGAGAGGCGGAAATGGTTAAGTGTACGACGATATGCCCCGTAATCTCAATCGAAGAGCTGAACGTATGATGAAATTGGATAGGGTCCCTGTGCAGAAGTTAGAACACGAAAGTGATGCGTTCAGGAGAGGGATACCTACCCATGGAGCGCATCGTAGGTACAGGTGTCTGTCGTCTCAGCGGCTACGGTAGAAAGAGTACGCCTCGGCGTAAGGAATAATGTAGTATACTGTGTGTCGGGGATAGGCCAATCCGCCTCGGGGCGACCCGGCTGATCTAACTCATGCCTGGGATCGCAATCCTTGTTTCGCAATGTGAGATAGACCCGGGGCTGGGTAGTCTTCCAGCCCGCATGATCGTCGTCATCTTTCAAGAAGCAATCCAGAAACGACCGTTGCAGCTCCGCCGATTGCTCCCAGTAAAAGGGTAAGTCATGTCGGCCAACGACGAAGCGTAGAAACTTGTATCGAGAAGACGCTCGCATCCATCCGACCACATTTCCACGCAAGTGCAGCAGAATACCACCCTAGCCCCTAGATGTTAGTACACGCTCGTATTCATAGCAGGCCTCGTTGCTGGCTTACCCAGTTGGCTACACTGAGAAGGGGGACTTCGACATCCTCAACAGCAAACTCTCGAGACTTGTTTTGCTCATCGTCCGCGAACGGATACCGGACGGTGTTGTCGGTCAAGCCAGCCAGGTTTTGGGCTCGGGTCTCCGAATCTAGGTCCCCTTCGAGAGTCGGGTCACCCCAGCGACCGGGAGTGCCATATTGGTTGGGTAGTACTTGACGAGACCACCATATCCCTGTACGATCCAAAACATTCAGTGCAGTCAGTATCGAGGAAATCGGGACACGCAGGGGAGGTGCTGACGGACCTATAAATTGGTCCGCGAGGATGCCACCATGGCGAACGGCCTCTCGATTATAGTCACTAAAGCCCTCCCAGGGAATGATCGCGGCCAGCCCCTTGGGTCTGCGGGCTGCCACACTCCACTGCGTAGCGGCGTAGTAGCTGACCCCCAGGAGGCCGACCTTGCCGGTCGACCATTCCTGCTCAGCAGCCCACTCGATCACGTCAAAGAATGTCTCACTGGTTCCACGGGACAGGACGTCTAACTGCCCTGGACTTTGTCCGATTCCTCTCTCGTCTACTCTCAAGACAATGTAGCCCCGCTGAGTCCAGTACCCTGGGTCGGGGGTTTCCCACGCTGAATGGGCAGATTTGTGCTGCGGGTTCACTTCATTGAAGCTACTCCGATTGAAGACAGAATACGGAACATCTTTGCCATCTATAGCCATGTTAGCGATGCATTGGATTACTTGCTAGCAGCTATACGAACAGGGACCATAGGTTGCGATCACCGGGTAGGTTTGCGAGCCGAATGGGGCGGCGTCTTTGGGGAGATAGACGTTGGCGCGGAGGACTCCTTTGCCAGAGGTTTTCAAGGGAATGTCGACGTTCTTCATGAAGACATAGGGGTATGTCTCACAGTCGGTCTGTAGAAATTGGTTGAGGGTCATCTTGAAAGATATACTTTTGCGCTCAACAGCCAGGGGACGAAGAGATAGAGTGGGCGAGGAAAGTCAAGCATCTCAGGAACGAATCCCCGAATATATTGTAGATGGAAGAGAGACCGACTGTGGAAAGGCGGGGGAATAACTAGCCTCGGTTATGATCTACATCCTCCTGCGCCCCACCTTGCATCCAGTTCAAACGAAGGACACTATCTGCTTCCTTTAAAGGGATGCAAACTCAGATTACGTGCACCGGTGACCTCCAGATCCTTATATGCGATCAATACATGACTAGCTAGAAAGGGCATATGTGATGTCGAGGCATCTGCCGGAGTAGGCGAAGTCACGTGGCTCGCGCTCTGACCGCCACGAGTAACCCCTATCTCACCCCACTAGAATCATATATATATCTGTCAAACGCTCGCAAAGGGCCATTTCACCCAGTGTGTACACTTTCATCTTTTCTGATTAGTTGGTAGGATCTCACTGCCTGCAGGTAGATTCTGCCAGCTTCTCTCATTACTTTTATCTTATTAATCCATGTCTGTTATTTACTACTTTATACTTACTACTGGCATTTCTATTATTTCTGCTACTATCATTCTCTGTACCTGTCTTCTATTATTTATTAATTTTATTTATATTTATATATTCTTACTTGGATTTTCTTTTTTACTTTTCTTACTACTCTTACTTATTATATTACTAATTGATTTATCTACTTTAATAACTCTTTAATTATCTGTATATTTTTTAATTTATTTACTTCTGACTGACTTGCTGCACTTGGATTATATACTAGTAAGCAGTATATCTGTCATTTAAATATATTCTAATTTTATATTTATATTTTTTAGTTTTTTTAAATATTTTTTTAAGCCAGTATGGCTTTTCCTGCAGCTATATTAATTAAAACTAATAATTATTTAAATCTATATTATATATTATATTAGGTTTCTGTCAAACCCTAGGATCGCTTCTCTGTCCCGGTTAGCTTAGCTTCACTGGTATACGTACCGTCGAACTGGGTCGAGGAAGTATCAGGCTGATGACTATCTAAGGACAACTGGTCTTGGACACGAGAAGAGAAGTAAGGCCAGATAGTGCCGCGCAGCTATCCGTAAGTAAGTGCGGACGAGTGTTCTATCGCTAAGCTTCCAAATGTATGGTTACTTAAAGACAGTGTTATTGAGCACGAAGAACAGAACTAACTAAGTACATGAAGGAGTGTCCTTATATATCCTATCCTCCGTATACCATATCATATACCATTAGGTCTGTCGTATACCGCCATGGTAGTTGTAGACCGGGATGGTATACCATATACCATAGATCCGTGTGTATACCGTGATCACGTGATGCGTGGCCGTTCTGGGCGTCGTAAAGGTAATCGGGAATTGTACTAAATAACAACTTGGCTTTGCCCGAGCGCTGCCCTTATCGGCGCTTTCTGCCTGGCGAGTCCGCCTTACTAGTAGATTAACTAGCAGGGGTCCGTAACATCACTTCCCCTCCTTCGAGGTTTCTTGTCCTCAAGAAACATAAAGGTGTGTATTCCCCCCTTGTGTGTTGGCCGGGTCCTTCAGTTTCTTTTCTTCCCCAGGATGGGTCATCATGCCTTTGCGTAATCGCTACAAAGAGCGTTGCCATCAAGCTGACCGGATCGTCCGTAACGGTGTCCAGGTCGAATTTCCTTGCACCTGGTGTGATTCCCACGGTCTTCCTTGTTTCATGGATTCCAAAAACCGAAATTGTGCGGCCTGCACTCGTCGTGGTCGCAAGTGTGAGAAGCGTTTCCACAGTGATTCCGAGTGGGATAAACTTCAGCGCGATGAAGAGAAAATAGCTCGAGAGATTGAAGAGACCGAAGAGCAGATCGAGCAATTATTTGCGAAAATGAAACGTCTGCGAAGACATCGAAAATTCCTTAAGGATCGTGGTGGCCGGATGCTGGATCACGACTCGAGTGTGTTGGATTTGTTGGATGGGGAGGATCCTCCAAGCGCCGAGGATCTCCGGGAGCTGGAGCGTCTGGCCGACGAGCATGACGCTGCTCAACTTGCCGCTGTGTCAGACGACACTAGTCTGACTCAGTTGGTTGGTTCCCCTTCCTTCTGGGCGAACTTCGACCTTGCTGCTGGTGGTACTGTTCCACAAGCTGGTGACAGCCCGTCAAATTCTCGATAGGTTCCCATGTGTTTTCTGAGGTATCATAGCCTTCCCATTTCACCAAGTAGTGTGACTTGCCGCTGATTTTCTTGTGGTCTAGAATCCTTTCGACTTCATATTCTTGTTCGGTGTCGTCGTCGATTTCCACATTTTCTGCGATTCTAGCGTTCTTTGGTGCGGGTTCCAATAATGAGATATGAAACACTGGGTGAATTCTGTTCATCGATTTCGGTAGTCTTAGTTTGTAATTGACTGGTCCTTTTCTTTTCCTCGATGACGAATGGTCCTAGTTTGTGGTGATCGAGTTTCTGGCTTGGTCGTTTTGTTTTAATATTCCTGCGGAGTAGGAATACTTTCTCCCCTCTTTTTAGGTCAGGTTCCTTTCCGTGTCGATGATCGTAGTATATCTTGCTTCGTAGGTTCATGAATTCGATGTCTCGGGATAGTTGGGTGTGCATGTTTCCCGTGAATGTGACAATGTCTTCGGCTATATCAGCAATTGGTTGCTTTCCTATCGGTGTTCCAAGGAATCTTGGGTGATAACCGTAATTAGCATAGAACGGTGAGACTCCGATTGTCGAATGATTGGCGTTATTGTATGAAAATTGTGCCATCGGCAACAGGTCTGCCCAATCGTCTTGCTGGTAGTTTACGTAGTGTCTCAGGTATTGTTCGATTGTCTGGTTAACCTTTCCGTTTGTCCATTTGTCTGCGGGTGATAAGCCTGTTGTCATTCGTTCTTCAATTCCCATG